TGGTCCCATGCAGGTCACTGGCCTTGGCATGGGGACAGGTAGCCTCCCATGAGTGGGGCTGTGCCTTATGTGTTCCTTGCCTGAGGTGTGTCAAGTCGATCCTCTGGCATGCTGGCTTCCAGAATGGTTTTCTCAGCCAGCCAGGCATTCCAGCCAGGCCTTCATGGTGTCCTGGGCAGAGCTGAGACTAGAGCTGCAGCTGGGGGATCTGCTATGCGTACAGCGCACAAGTGCCTGTCCCAGAAGCCACCTCGCACTTCTCAGGCCTTTCCTGAGATGTCCGGGCAGTGGGCTCCTCGAGTCCTCCAGAGGATGGTCAGCGGCCTCATTCTGCAGCCACGTTCATTTGGCTTGGCCCTTGGGGCTGTGATCTGGGCCTGACAGTGACAGTAATTAAGACCTGGAACCACTGTGGTTGGTGTGAAGATCTGAGAGCCTGACCAAAGGAGCCTCCCCACTCACTGTCAGGATCTACACTCACTGTCAGGACCCCCACTCACTGTCAGGACCCCACAACTGTCAGGATCCTCACACTCACTGTCAGGACCCCTCACTCACTGTCAGGACCCCACACTCACTGTCAGGATCTACACTCACTGTCAGGACCCCTCACTCACTGTCAGGATCTACACTCACTGTCAGGACCCCTCACTCACTGTCAGGATCTACACTCACTGTCAGGATCTACACTCACTGTCAGGATCCTCACACTCACTGTCAGGATCTACACTCACTGTCAGGATCCACACACTCACTGTCAGGACCCACACTCACTGTCAGGATCTACACTCACTGTCAGGACCCACACTCACTGTCAGGATCTACACTCACTGTCAGGACCCACACTCACTGTCAGGATCCTCACACTCACTGTCAGGATCTACACTCACTGTCAGGATCTACACTCACTGTCAGGACCCCCCACACTCACTGTCAGGACCCACACTCACTGTCAGGATCTACACTCACTGTCAGGATCTACACTCACTGTCAGGATCTACACTCACTGTCAGGATCCACACACTCACTGTCAGGATCCACACTCACTGTCAGGATCTACACTCACTGTCAGGATCTACACTCACTGTCAGGATCTACACTCACTGTCAGGATCTACACTCACTCACTGTCAGGATCCACACTCACTGTCAGGAGCCCTTCTTGGTCTCTCCACTGTACCAAGCTCCCCAGTGTCCTTCCTAGTCTGGTAACCACAGCACTCATAGACAAGGGATTTTGCCAAGAGGAAAGAGCCTTCAGCCCAGTTCCCGGCTGGACTTGGCCTGAGGCGGTGTCCCTGGCCAGGGCCCAAGCTGAACTGGGCTCCCAGGCAGCCACTGCACTGGGGTTGGCTCCTGGTCAGCAGGCAGAGTTTAGAAGGTAGCTGCCAGGTCTGCCCAGGGCTCTGCTTGCCTGGTACAGTGCCACCACCCTGGTCCTCAAAGTGTAGGTGACAATAGGAACATAGATCCCTGGTCCTGGGTTTTTTCGGGTTGCTTAGAAACTGGGTGGGCTGTGGGAAGCCTCAAGGAGCCAGCTGTGCCTCTCTACCCACAACAGTTGCTGCCAGCCATGAGGCTGTCCATCTGGCAAGGCTTACAGGATCTCTTGCAGGTTCCCCACCAGAACCACCATGGTGGGGAGAACCCCATTCCTCCAAAGGTGGAGAGGTCGGCTGGAGAGGTGGCTCAGAAGTTAAGAGCACTGGCTGTTCTTCCTGAGGTCCTGAGTTCAATTCCCAGCAACCACATGGTGGTTCACAACCATCTATGATGAGATCTGGTGCCCTCTTCTGGTGTGCAGGTGTACATGCAGTCAGAACACTGTACATAATAAATACACCTTTAAAACAAAACAAAAAGTCGCAATCACTATCATAGTGGCTCATGCTGGGCCTGCTTGGGCCATCCCAAACTGCTGAAGGGAATGAAGTCCCCTGGGCCAGTGGCCAGTGTTCCAGGAAGTTGGCTACCCCATGGGGAATTCCATACCAAGGTCATCAGTGGCCAGAAGGGGGTCCCTTGAAACACTCATGACAGTGACCTCAGGGCTGAGGATCTGTTGCTTTCACTGCTTGGTCAGGAGCTGTACATTTGTGTGACAAGGACGCTGTGATCAGCTCTTCACTTTTCATCATGGAAGGGGGAGGAGTGAAACCCCAGATGCCGCTAGAAACCCACAGGAGGGGAAGGGCTGGGACCCTGCCCCACCCCTTTAACGTCATAGACTGCAGGCAGCTTCAGTGGGCTTAGTGGAAGCAGCTGTAAAGAGAGTCCCCCTGGGAGTTGGGATTTAGCTCAGTGGTAGAGCACTTGCCTAACAAGCACAAGGCCCTGGGTTCAGTCCTCCGCTCTGGAAAAAAAAAAAAAAAAAAAAAAAAAAAACAAAGAAAGAAAAAAGAAAAAAAGAAAGAGAAAGAGAGTCCCCCTAACGCACCGCAAAGTCAGCACACAAGCCAGTATGGGTGACAAGTGCCCTAGGCTGGGAGAGCCTGGCACAGGAGCCTCTCACTGGAGCAGCCCCTGCCCTTCCTCAGCGAGGGTGGGGGCTGACCGGGCTGTTGAACTGTCCCTCGGGCCTCAGGCCTCTTCTGGGGCAGAGTGTCAGCGGTAGTTGCCCTCAGAGGCTGTGGCCCTCAGAGGATACACTGTTAGATGCCCAGACCCAGTGGCCGCCTCTTGGGGACTGTAGGATTTTGGCCAGTGACGCTTCCTGCTGATGGCCTTTCCTAGCAGGATCTGTGGCTGCTGTGGGACCCTGAGCTCAGGGTCAGTGCCACCTTGTCCGCTGAGATGCGGGAGAACTCAGGGTGCTCCATTCCCAGGCCAGGATCCTGGGGAAATTGTATTTGCAGACCCAGCTTTTGGACTCTGTTGCTTCCCATGGGCGGTGCTTTCCTAGGAGGGCGCAGGGGTTGGGGAGGAGGAGTAGAAAGGCCTGGGAGACTCGGGGCTGCCCCAGCGGCCAGGCGGAAAGTTTGCAGCTGGAGCAGCCACAGTCAGCCCACAGGCACGGCCCCCTGTAGTCCCCAGAGCAGGGCAGGGAGGCCAGCACTTCCCTTCCCAGCCTGGAGTCTCCCCCCTGGGGTGGACACGCCTGTGGTCTGGACCAGTCTCCCCAGCCCCATCTATGCCATCTTGTCTGGGAAGTCCCTGGCTCTTGGGCACCTTCAACATGTTCTTCATGGGCCTGCCCAAAGCAGAGGACCCCTTACAGCCCGGCCTGGATCAGCACTCACAGACCCTTCCTCTGGCTATGTCCAAGGTCCCCTCCTCTGTGCACGCCAACCCCTCATACCAGGAGGGGGAGAAGCCATTTCTAACCGCCAGGCTGGAAGCCGGTGGAAGCCAGCATAGATGCCAGGGTCCCACAGGGCCAGTCCCCTCCCCTCGCCTGACTGCTTCCCTGCTGAGTCACTCTGTGTTTGGGAAGTTCCCAGGGCCAAGCCAGGAGAGATGAAGCATCACCACTTTACCAATTCCCCTGCCCCCTGGGTGGGAGGCTGCTCCGGTGACTCAGCTTGGGCTGGCCAGGCTCCGCCCTGGGATGGCCATGGAGTAGGCTCCCTGCCCAGGAACAGAGGTGGCAAGGTACCAGGGCACCATGCTGGGGTAAAGGGACCAGCAGTGCAGCCTGGACCACCCACAGAACGGCCCTGAGTGCACAGGCTCTCTGCACGTATGTTGTATGTGGACAAGAGCTGGTAGCCATGACAACCAGGGAGACTTGCTTGGCCTGGCCCTGACTGCTAGACTCTGGCAGAGACGGGTCATAGACCACGGCAGCATCCATCGGAGGGTGCGGCAGGCTGGTGGGCAGGAGAGGAGGGTGAGCAGGCTGTGGAGGCTGACCTGGGATCAGGGACAGCTGCCTCACCATCCACCACGTGCCCTCCCAGGACACTGGGGAAAACGCTGGCCAGCCCGGGAAGCCTGGGACCCACTCTTCCGCCCAATACCAGTTCCTTAGAGCCTGTTCCCAGAGACCCAGCGGGGACCTGAAGAGCTGCTCTGTGAGGTTCTGGTCTCTTTCCTGGCTCTGCCATCACCTGGGCCCGGGGCCGCCTTGTCTAACTGGGGGAAAGACAGAAGCACATTTCTCACACCCGGCCCAGAATGGGCAGGCCCCTCCGCCCCTGCAGCGCTGGCTGCAGCCTCCGGTTGGGCCCTTGTTGGATCTAGGTGCATCATGGGCCCTCTCAGGGAGGCGCAGGCACAGCTCGCTGCCAGGCCCACCGCATCGCAGGAAGCCGGCAGGTGCCAATGCCATGGGCTGTGCAAATGAGAAGGCCCACGGCAAGCTTGTCCACCACGGGTCCTAAGCGTGCTTCTGACATTGTTCTGGGCACCTGGTTGGTGATGACGGTGGTGGAAAAGGATGTGATGGTTAGGGTGGCAGAGGCGAGGTGTGTGCTCACGAGGGTAGAGGAAGGAGGAGGGCGAGGTGGTGGTTAGCGGGTGATACAGTTGCTGTGGTGGTGGTGACAGGTGGCGGTGGTGGTGTGGGATGATAGTGACGGTCCGTGGTAGTGCTCTGGTCACAGTCGTGGGCGGTAGTGGCGGTAAGGACGTGACGGTGGCAGTGGTGGTGTGGGAATGTGGAGGTGGTGTGGTTTTGAGGGGTGTTTGTGAGGGGTGGCATGGATGGCGGTTGTAGCGTAGGGGAGCAGTGCTGTGGGTGGCCGTGGCGGTGCTTTGGTGGTGGTTGTGGTGGGTGGGCAGTGGGCAGACGGTGGTGGTCATGCTGTTTTGAAGTAACAGGTTTTACTCCTAAGACCGTGGAGGTGTTAAAGGCCCGGGACACGGGTGTCACTCTCAAGTACTTGTGTGGGCAGCTTTGCCTGCCACGGCTTTCTTGGACAAGGCGAGGGCCCTGTGGGAGCTAGGGTACCTGAGAGGCACCGCAGAGGAGGGCTTTGGGGTGCGGGCGCTGGCCCTGTGCTTCTGTGCCGAGCACAGGGCTTGCACAGCTCACTCTCGCCCCGTGTCCACAGCCAGCAGCCGTCTGATGGGAAACCCCCCGGCCTCCTCCTTCATGGGCAGCTTCCTCACCGGCAGCCTGGGCCCAGCAGCCTCTGCACACGCCAGCGGCCCCACGTCCTCTCCCTCTGAACCGGCCTACCGAGGATCCCACCCCGCCACCTCCCAGATCTGGTTCTCCCACTCCCATGAAGGTAAGTCGGGTCTTGGGCTCCTGGCTTTACCCTAGGGGTTATAGGGGACCAAGTGGTGAAAGCCTGCTGGCAGGCCCTGCCGGTGTGCAGCGGGGGCGCCTCCCTGCTGAGGAGGTCTCTCGGGGAGGTGGTGATTGGTTGGAAGTGGGACGGCCCCAGTAGGCACTGGCCCTGGCCAGATGTGTGCTCCAGATGTTGGGCAGGGAGGGCTCCCCGGGAACGGGGGAAATGTGGCCTGCAGCTGGGCCAGCCGGACCAGGATGCGCCCTCCACCGTGGGCTGCCCCCCACCTCCCCAGACTCAAGCAGGCATGGGTTCCAGATGTGTCAGCGGGAAAGGAGAGGCAGAGAGAAGAGAGCTGTCAGCAGGCAGAGCCTGCTGCCGTCCCACCCCCACCCCAGCTCTGCCCTGACAGAGCTCCCAGGCCACCAGCCTCGCGCTTGGTACACTTTGCTGCCTCAGAAGTACCTGTTACTGTCAGACATCATGAAACAGGATGGTCTCTAGAGCCCTCTGTTGGCATCTCAGGTCTCTCCTGGACTTTCCCCAGACTAGGATGTACCTTGTCCAGATGTCTGAAGTTAGCTTTTGCGTTTTGGTTTTATGACTTGGAAGGCAGCCCTGGGCCCCCAGTCTCCCTGGCCTGGTCATTGCTTGCTTGCGTTCCCTTGATTGTGCATCTCCGTTGGTGCAGGAAGGGTTAACCCCCTCCCGGGCTGGCACGCGGGAGGTAATTGCATTTGGCAGCGGGCACACGGAGCTCTCGCTCCTGGCACCAGACGCTGCCGTAACTCAATGACTGCTGCGCTCAGGCGTCCTGTTTACAGAGCGCAGTGGACCCACACGGCGCACAGCCCGCCTGCCCACGGTCCAGGCAGGGAGATTAGGGCCCGGGCCCAGCACCTCGGGGAGCCTGAGAAACCTCTTCTTTGTGCCACAAGAAGGGGCTGTTTTCCAAGCGGGACAGGTGACAAGTGAGGGGCAGTTGTTGGAGTAATCTGGTCTCTGGACTTCCGTTCAGAGCACACATGTTGGACAGGTGATAAGAGACCGCGCTCTCCTGGGTGAGCAGTTCGGCCAGGCCTTGAGAACCAGAGAGGCAGAGTGGGCTCTTTAGCCAGACCTCCTGTGATGTTCTGCACCCCCCCCCATCCCCCGGCAGAGTCCTGGGTGGAGACTCCCTGGCCAGCTGTGGGTGGCCCAGGCCCTGCGGGAAACACTGGCTCCCTACCCTCCGACCAGCCTTTAGTGTCCATCCAGCATCTCCCACTGGCCACAGCATCTGGCTCCCAGGATGTTTGCAGGAAGTATGAGGGTGGCTAAGCAGCAGGAATAGGCAGTGGAGGCCACTCAAGAAAGGGCTGACCGCAGGTGCACGGTCCACCTGGGCCGCCCCACCTGATTTCTTCCATCCTTGTAACCGGCAGTGCCCCGGAATGTCGGCCCACCTGCTTGGGAGAGACTCATGCCTACTCCCTTCCATCCTACCCTTGCAGACACCACCAGCAAGAAGGGCAGTTTGTGGGTGGCACCACCTGCCCTAGAGCCCAGTCCTGTTCCCTGTTGGGCCGGTCACTCGGGATGTCGGGTAGAGGCCCGCTGCCAGCACCCAAAACCATTTACTTCCCCTTGCTCAATGGTTGTCTGGTAGGGTCACTTACGACGCACCCTCAGTACCCCCAAACCCCTGAGCCCCCTGTGGGCCCGCCTCCGCAGGTTCTGTTTTCAGGCTCTAGCCCCAAGGGTGCCCACGTGGCCAACATCCAGGCAGTGTGCCGACTTCTGGACTCTGTCGTGCCTCGGGCCGATCACATGCGCTCTGTTCCCCGTCCTGCGTTCGAGGCTGTGTCACAAGGAGAGATAGGGCCCTGTTGTCTCGGAGACCACCTCAAGGGCAGCAGCAGGACTCTCTCTGCCCACTGCCTGGCGTCCACTGCGGCAGGTGCAAGACGAAGTCCCAGAGGCAGGTGGGGGAGGGCAAGCACAGGTGCTCAGGGCAGGAAGCTGGGGGCTGCACCAGCACAGCCCAGGGCCCACTGGGGCCGTGGAGTCAGGTGTGTGGGCAAGCAGCAGTCCTGGAGCGGGGAGAGCACGGTTGCAAGACTCCAGGTCCCATCTGAGAGTGGCAGCAAGCCCACATCTGTCTGGAGTCACGTGACAACGCGTACCCCCCAGGGCTGTGCCTCAGGTCACCCCTTACCGGCTCCTCCCAACCCCAGGGAGTCCCCCTCCCCGCCGCGGGGGTTCCCCTGTAGTCTGTGTCTGCAGCCTCACTCCCTGACAGGCCGCATGGTGCAGCCTGCTCTGTGCGGCAGAGGCCAGGGCGGGCGGGGCGGGAGCGAGTGGCAGGCTGGCTGGCTGCCCTGGCAGTGTGCCTGGCTGCTAGTCTGACGGGGTGCCAGCTGGCTCCACGTGCTGGGGCCTGTTTCTCGGCCATGTGTGTACAGGAGGGCGGGGGGCAAGGCAGGCAGGGGGCACGCGACACGGCCAGAGAATGGGGGCCATCCAGCATGGGGGCTTCCTGGGCAATAGGCCAGGAGGCCCAGCCTTACCCTTGTCCTGCTGCCTTCAACTACCCCTAGAGTATAGAGATGCAGGGACTCCGCCTCCTTCCTGCCCTGGGCCGTCTAGTGTCTAGGGCAGGTAGGTCAGGCAGACAGGGCCGACAAGTAGCAGCACTTCCTGTGGGAATTAGCCGTGGGTGCCCTCCTCTTGACAGAGATTCTCAGAACACCCTCCCCTCACCATCTGTAAGGCAGCTGTAAGGGGGGGCTCAGGCTTCCTGTGTCCCTGGAACAGCTGGGGGTTCAAGGGATGCACCCTGGTGTTAGAGGAGCCGCCCCGAAACATCTGGCCTGGAGCAGGACCTGCTTTCTGAGCCCCAGGCCCTCTGGCCCCTTGGCTCACCCGAGATGACGGGTCTTGCCAGAAGTAGACGTCAGGGCCATGGGGTAGGGTGGACAGCAGAACTAGCCCGGGGCAGAGGTGAATGGCTGGTAGCCAACCTGGCCTGAGTGGATGGGCCTGGGTGTGGTGCCGCACAGCTGGCCCTATTGTCAGTGAGCACCCCCCCACCCCAGCTGCCTGCTTGGGACCACCCACAGGGCAATGAAAGGGGATGCTGTTGCTAGGGGGTTGGGGATGGATACAGGAGCTTGGAGCTGACTCAGCCCTGCTAGTCGTGGTCTCTTGTGCCACCTGGAGGGGGAGCCATGGGCACACGTGCCAGCACTGGCTGCCTGCCGAGCCAGCTTCTGTCAAAGCCACACCCACCCTGGTGGCCACTTCTCCATCCATGCCTGGCTGGAGTCCAGTGAGACAGGAGCCACACACAGGAGCCACCAAGTTACCCTGCTGCTCCAGACCCCACACACTCCCACATTTCTCCAGCTGCCTCTGGCTCCCTCAGTATCTTAGGAGGCCTCAAGACTTACCACAGGGGTAAGCAGGGGCTGGAACTCGGCCAGCCAGGAGACAGGTCCCATCCAGCATTCCCCTCATGGGTGGGCCGGCAGACTCCAGCCCCTGGAACTGCCCCCTGCTGGCCGTCTCTTTGCTATTTCTCCAGACCCTGGATGCTCGCTCCCTTTCTTTTCCTCTTTCACTTGGTTTTCTTGAAACAGAACCAAGTTCCTGCCTGGCCTGGAACTCGCTATGATGACCAGTCTGACCTAGAAATTGCAATGATCCTTTTTCTCTCCTTCTCATTGCTGGAATAGGCTTGGGACACTGTACCCTACAATCTCTCCTTCCTCCTTTTTTTATTTTTAAAGATTTATTTGTAGTTTTTAATTAGGTGGGTGTGTTTCTCTGTATGGGTAGGCACACATGTAAGTTGCAGGACTCTCGGAGTCCAGAAGACGACGTCAGGTTTCAGGGAGCCAGCTTACAGGAAAATGTGGGTACTGGAAACAGAGATCGGGTCCCCTGCAAGAGCAGTACATACACTTAACTGCTGAGCTCTCTATGAGTGACCCCCCACTGTCCCCAGAACCCTGGTCCTTCCTCTTTCCTCCTCTGTTTCATCCTGTTTCACCCTCCGCATTTCATGGCGCCCACCCATGTCCACAAGAGCTGCTCGGCCACTTGGGAAAATCTAGCCACCCTAAGATTTGGAGGACACCATGGAATGAACTCTTAGACCCAGCCCTGGGTTTCAGGGTGCCATTGCAGCCAGCAGGGAGCAGCTCCGGGGTCTCAGGGCTTCACTCTCTGGTTGTCACAGCCTCAAGGGCTGCGTTAGCGTTAGGCTGCCATGCTCAGCGTGGAGCCTCTGCGCCTGCACCCTCCCCTGTAAACACGCCTGCTGGAACAGACCGGTACTCTAGAGGCTCTCCTTCCCTCATCACCCTTTCTTCGTACATGCTAGAGGTAGTGGGGCAGGCAGTGGCCGTGGTCGCCAGGCAGTGACCCTCCCGGATCCTTGGCTCCAACACGGGCAAAACCCAAGTAGCCAGCCTGCTGCACCTCCTTCCTGCCCACGAGGGGGTGGAGTCCCGGCACAGTGGGCCACCTGGGTTGCTGCAGACGGTGGAGGTGGCAGGACTGTTGTCCTGGAAGCCAGCAGGATGTGGGGGCCACATCCAGGATATCCTGCTCCACATCTGCCCACCATCGGTTGGCCCCCGAGTCCATCCTACTGGCCAGTGCTGAGCGTTGCCCTGTGAATGTGGAGAGACGTCCCGCTGGATCCAGGGCGACCTGCCCGTGGGAGCCTGGCTCCGTGGGCACTTAGTTATTCCCCTCAGCCTGGGGACACGGAGACTGCAGGGCCCTGTTCCCTGAGCAGTTGCGGGCAGCGTTGTGAGGCTGCAGGGAGGAGAGAACCCTGAAGGCTGCCGTTCTGATCTCCAGCCACTTGGGTGGTCAGTCCCGGGAGCTGCCCTTTGAAATCCTGGCCTGGATGACTAGGAGTTCGACCAAGTAGGGTGAAGAGACCCTGAAGTGAGGGCATTTGGCAGGGAGAACCTGGGTTGTTGCTAGGTAACTCCCTTCAGTTACTAAAGCGGAGATGGCAAGCGTCCTGTGAACTGGCTGCCACATCCTGCCTGTTCCCAGGGCAGACATCACTAGTCAATTACGCGGCATGAGAATGCAGCTTTAGGATTCTCAGCCCAGCACTCCTGGTCTGTCCTGAGTAAACTGCAAGGGAAATCACTGGCAGGGAGTGAAAAGGCTGCTGTCTGGGAGAGGGCCAGCACCAACTTACTGCTGGCCCTCCGTGTGTGGCGGCATCCAGAGCGACAGGAAATGGGTACCAGGGCACTTGAGGAGCAGGGACCAGGCCCCAGGAAAACAGAGGTTTGTAGGTACCTGTTCCTTCTGGGTGGGCAGAGGGAGCCCCATTTTGTGGCTTCCTACCCAGATGCCCATTTCCTGCCTGTCCCACCGTCCTTTGTCTCTTAAATGCTGTTTCTAAGCAGCCTCGCCATCAGCCATCTTCTTTTTCTGCCTGTTAATCAGGAATCTTCATCTTCACCATCAGCAGGGGCTTTGGTAGCGGTGGCAGTGGCAGGGCAGGATGGCGCGTCCTAAACACGGGACACTTCCCCGGTGAGCCAGGGTTCCAGGGCAGCAGGTGGCCTTAGCTTTGTCACAGGATCATCGGAGCGATGCAGAGGCTCCAGCTGCAGATGTGCAGAGGCTGTAGGGAAAGGGTGGCCCGGGGCCTGGACCCTCCAGAGGGGATCTAGCTAAGCAGACCTGTGGCTGGAAGTGTAGCCTCTGAGGCTCTCTCTCTGCCCCAGGGTCCTCCCCTGATGCCTGGCCACCCCTATGAGAATCCTCCCTAGACCCTCCCAGCCCAGGCTTGGTCTCCCTGATTCTTTCCGGACGCTGTGTCTCCTGGCCTTGGCTTCCGGTCTCAGAGCAGCTGCTCTGACTTTCTAGTTTCCTCTCAGTTCAGGGAGTCCAGTCTTGGGGAAAAGAAAGGGGCCTTTTTATTGGCAGGCAAAGAGGACCCTCTCCTCGCTCTCTCCCCCAGGGCTCTTTGCTCCTCCCACCCCTGCTTTTCTTTCTTCAGCTGGTTCCCCCGTCTGAGGCCTGAGGGATGAAGAGCCTCCCTGCGAGGAATGGCCAGGAGATTTCAGCCCCACTCCCTGGACTGGCAGCCACCAGCCTTTTCACAGCACCCAAAGTGCCATGGGTGGGAAGGGCATCCTTACTCAGTTAACCAGGTGCCCATTGCCCCCAGAGAGCAGGGAGAGGCCCAGGCCTCCTTAGGGGGTGCAAGTTGATGGGGGGGTGTTGTGCCTGGAAACGTTGGGGAACGTTGTCTGGGAAGGAGGAATTTACAGACTTCTGTTTACCAAAAAACGAGGCCCATAAAACATTTAACAGCAGCCAATTACGGGGGACAGCTGCAGTGGGTTCCCCCCCCCCCCCGGCCCCAGTCCCCCTACCCAGCTGCTCCCACCCAGGCCTCTTGGCTTTTGTCAAGTCTTCCAGGAGCTGAGTTTAATCTGGGTAACATCTGCTACAGATGTGTCCACACACACCAGGCCAGTGGGGGCAGGTCTCCCGGCCTCGGCCTGTACTTCAACCAGAGAGGAGCAGAGGCCTGGCAGTGGACACCGTCCCCGTGTCGTCCGGGAGACGTCGCTACACTGTGCAGGCGGGTTTCCGTGTCACAGAGATCTCAGAGTCCTCCTTCATGAGTGCCTTGAGTAGCAGATGGAAAGCTGCACAGCCGGGCAGATGCCTTCCTCCGTGTAGGACCAAAGAGCCACCAAAGTAGAGACTGTCCCAAGGTGTCATTGGTCCAGGGTTTGTGTGTGTGTGTGTGTGTGTGTGTGTGTGTGTGTGTGTGTGTGTGT